CCCCAAAACCCCAAAACCCCAAAACCCCAAAACCCCTTCGATAATTTTAAATATTGGTATCTTGTGGCATGTTTATATAATATTTTAAAGTATCTTATTAAACACATGGCTTTTGTATACTCATTTTTGAAAGGGATAATATTTACCTTCCTCTTCTTTGTGCTGGCGGTGGTAATGTACCTTGCCTTTTGGTTCATAGTCAGACCTTTTAAGAAAAGGAAGCACTTCCAGAGGTATTCCGATACGATAGGCTACTCTCCAACGTTTGTGCCATTTCTCGGTGATTACAAGCATTTGAACGAAGAATATATTCAGAAGGGCAAATTTATTGGACACTTCTTGAGAGATCTTGCTCTTGGTTATGGGAAGAAGAAAGCTTTCTTCGGCTCACTTGGCATGGACGATATGGTCTTTGTGAATGATGTAGAATACCTCACAGACATCTCGAAGTTAGTCCCCCATTATCTGGACAGAGAACCAATTGACACAACAGGCTTTGGAAGAGTAGGAGGCACTGGTGGTCTTGGACAGTCTAAAACAACCAAATATTGGAAGAAGAGAAGGCAAATTTTCACTAAAACTATCGGAATAAATCAAGCTTCTAGATTCATTCCAATTTTCTTAAAGCATTGACAGAAGGGAGTGAAGACTTTCGAAGAAGGTATGACTATAAACATGAGTGAACACGCAAACACAGTTAGCTTTGAAATAATCAGTGAGATCTTGTATGGTTGTGATATCAGAGATAAGCTAGAGAAGGTAAACTACACCAAGAGAGATGGAACAACTGAAATCGTTAATCTTTATCAATGTCTGATGAAAATTTCTCATGATTGCTCCTTTGCTGCACTAAACCCTCTCAATGTTATGTTCCCTTGGCTTGTCCACTACAGCATCGGAGCTGAGAACAAGAGGAATACTAAGAATAGCGATGAGTTCGAAAGAGTTATCAGGGATATCTGTGCCAAGTCCCAAGATAGTAACTCGGTGTACAATCAAGTCCTTAAGACTGGTGAAATAGATAAAGAAATGGCTTACAAAGATGTCATGGCTATTCTTTTTGCAGGCCATGAGACAACTTCAAAGTCTCTTTGCAGTGCTCTTTTCCAATTAAAAAAGAATCCTGAGGTTGAGAAAAAGCTTAAACAAGAGATAGATGAATACATTCTGCAGAATGGGAAGTATACCGTGAACGACCTCGCCGAAATTTTAAACAGCCAATCTCTTGATCAGATGGACTACTTAAGCTGCTTTGTTAAAGAGGTTCTAAGACATGATCCTCCTGCTGTAAGGTCCTTGGGATATAAGGCTAAAGCTTCCTTCAAAGTGAAGGATCTCCTAATTCCAAAGAACCAGATTGTCGTTTTTAACTTGTACGCTGCACAGTACGATGAGAAGCAGTGGAAGGAACCTACTAAGTTCATTCCAGAAAGATTTGATCCTTCATCAGATTATTTCTTGACACCAAGTGGAAAGCAAAGACACCCTTATGCTTTCTGTCCGTTTACTTTTGGAACAAGGACTTGCCCAGGAAGAGCTATAGGATTGATGGAATTCAAAATTCTCCTAATTTATTTCATGCTAGCTATCGATTACGAAGTTGAGAAGGAGACTTTAGAAAACCCAGATGTGACATATGCCATTCTCTCCCCCTATGCACTGAATCTTAAGATAAATAAGATCAATGTATAGGCTTCTAATTTGATTCTTTAACAAGCTTTCCTTTTAATTCTTGCAACGTCAGCACCTTCATTTTTGGTGTTTCAACTCTGAAATTACGTAGAGGGGTTTTGGGGTTTTGGGGTTTTGGGGTTTTGGGGTTTTGGGG